CCAGCGGCTGGTGCGCGAGATCGCGCAGGACTTCAAGACCGACCTGCGCTTCCAGAGCTCGGCCGTGATGGCGCTGCAGGAGGCGAGCGAGGCCTACCTGGTGGGGCTCTTCGAGGACACCAACCTGTGCGCCATCCACGCCAAGCGCGTCACCATCATGCCCAAGGACATCCAGCTGGCCCGACGCATCCGCGGGGAGCGGGCGTAAAAAGAAAAAAAAAGCAGGCTTGCTTTTGCCTTTGAAAAACGGCTCTTTTAAGAGCCATCAAATAGTCCCAAAAAGTGCTGGAAACTCCCAAACTAAACAAGTGAGACACATGGTTTTTCTCACCCACGTAAGTTATTCTCGTGCTGTTGGTAGGTAATTCAGGAACCCATTTCAACGCGGGGGAAAGTCTTCAAAATACACAAGTTATCGGTATATTTGGTCTCTTCTCGCGTCTAATTCCTTGAGGCTGCCCCTTAAATGAGAGCTGCTCGTGATTTAACTGCTATGGAAAAGGACGAACAACCCACTTTCCAAAATTATCCGAGGTTTCTTTGATGGGCTTTGCAATCTTTCTAGAAGACCGGCCAACCTTATTTCTAAAACTGCAAAAATGTTTTTGAAAAATCCCGTTCTTCAGACTTGGGTCTTTTTGGTGACTCGTGGACTTCAACTCTCAGAATTCCTCAGTCGACGTAACTGGCTGAGGCATTCTGGGAGTTGAAGTCCACGAGTCACCGAAGGGCCCCCAAGTTTCAAGACCCCCTGCTCTAAAGCCACACACTCCCCAGGATCGATTGTACCGCGCTTGCAGCCCTTTCAGAAGGAAGTGAGCGGCTCTTAAAAGAGCCTTTGGGGTTGCGGGTAGTCTTCCCTGCGGTCCACACGTCGAGCTGCCCCTCTACTTGGAGCTGGTGTACTTGGTGACGGCCTTGGTGCCCTCGGAGACGGCGTGCTTGGCCAGCTCGCCCGGCAGCAGGAGGCGCACGGCCGTCTGGATCTCGCGGGAGGTGATGGTGGAGCGCTTGTTGTAGTGGGCCAGGCGGGACGCCTCGGCCGCGATGCGCTCGAAGATGTCATTGACGAAGGAGTTCATGATGCTCATGGCCTTGGAGGAGATGCCGGTGTCGGGGTGGACCTGCTTCAGCACCTTGTAGACGTAGATGGAGTAGCTCTCCTTGCGGGTCTTCCTGCGCTTCTTGTCGCCCTTCTTCTGCGTCTTGGTGATGGCCTTTTTGGAGCCTTTCTTGGGCACCGGCGCTGACTTCGCGGGCTCGGGCATCTTGAGAGGCGCGCTAACCAGCTGGGATTCAGCACTAACGGTTGCGAGTCCCGTTCGCTCGTATTTATAAGCGCTTTTATGCAAATGAAGTCTCGGCATGTCTTCTCGACTATTGGCTGTGGGAGGAAGGTGCCGCGCGACGGTTTTTTTCAAAAGGCTGGCTTTCTATTGGCCAAGAAAGAGACATCTCTATTTGCTGGGCTAGAGAGTCGCCCTTCCATTGGTTTCTGGAAATTTAAACGGCTATCCAATGAATGCTGCCAGTTTCAAATCCAGCAAACAGGATTAATAGAAAAATGCAGCCGCTAGCTGAAATACCCAGAAATATGAGCTAGAATATTTTTTTCCAGCCATGGGAAATAATAATAATAATAATAATAATAATAATAATAATAATAATAATAATAATAATAATAATAATAATAATAATAATAATAATAATAATAATGATAGTAGTAGTAGTAGTAGTAGTTGTTATTAATAACTAACAATAAATAATATCATGTGTGTGTGTGTGTATGTGTATATACGTGTGTATATGTATATATGTCTATATATATATATGTTGTGTGTATATATAATAATAATACTCTAACCCTAGACCATTTCAGACAAATGGCTGTCCAGTCTCTTCTTAAAAACTTCCAGTGTTTGGGAGCATTCACAGCTTCTGGAGGCAGGTAGTTCCACTGGTTAATTGTTCTGTCAGGAAATTTCTGACATAAAGTTACAAAGACAGAAAGAGAATTTATGATTGAGGTTATCTCAAAGGTGCTTTTTCAAAAGGCAACTGAACTGGTTTTTTTCCCTGAGGAAAAAAAAAGAACAGAAAATTAGTCCACGTGCCTTTTGAAAAAGGACCTTTGAGACAACTATGAGCTGGATGACTGAGAATCTCCATAGACATGTTTGAGGTAAGTTATGTTTATCCTATTTTAAAGTGTTGATTCAGTCACGTTTTTCTTTGTCCATTGTTTTGCTGAATTTCCTTCAACTTGATTCTTACCTATTCGTAGATAAATGAATGGATAAAAGGGTACCCTTAAGGTCATCTAGCAGCACATAGGAAGTGTGCCTTCTCTGAAGCTTCCCCTGGGGTCAGGCATGCCTCATCCTTCCTGCTGTCCCCACAAGCATAAGGGTAGGATGAGGCTGGAACCCAACAGGAAAAGGAGAATAAACAGGATTCATTTAAGCAACATAAAGGTGCTCAGGGTTTTGCATCCGACAAAACTTTGGCCTGAAGAATTGGGAACAAGAAAGCAACATCTGTAGCCTTGGGCGCTGAAATGTCAGAAACGCATGAGAGCAGGTGGAGTTATCTGGGTCTTTGATTACTCAGAGAGTTTCACAATTAAGAAATCAACAGGCACATGAATATCAGCAACATTTACACACACAGAGACACACAAAAAGCCAAGAAGGAATCAAAAATGCCAAAACACCAGCTCACCAGCCATCAACATCCAGATGAGCAGAGATTAACACCAACATTAACACCAGGGGTAGGCAACCTTGGCTCTTTTATGACTTGTGGACTTCAATACCCAGAATTCCTGAACCAGCCATGCTGACTCAGGAATTCTGGGAGTTGAAGTCCACAAGTCATAAAAGAGCCAAGGTTGCCTACCCCTGGTCTAGACCAACAACCAAGCAGTAAACAATACCTCGATCAAGGAACAACCAACTTAGGCAACAATCAAACAGTAAACAACAATCAAGAACACTCCCATCAACACTGACAAGGCAGGTCACTCCACTCTCGCACTTATGATGTTACCGAGTTGGGTCATGAAACATCTGCGAGAAAACAATCAAGTTCGGAGAATACCAAGGACCCCACAGTCCTCCTCCTCTTCCTTCTCCTCTGCACAATCCCCCCTTCCTTCCAGCACTGATGGTGTTCCCTAGTTGGGTCATGAAACGTCTGCAAGAAAACAACCAAGCTCAGAGAGCACCAAGGACCCCTCAGTTCTCCCTCCTTTTTCTTTTCCTCTTCTCCTCCTCCTTCCCTCCCTCCTCCTCCTTGCAAACCCCACTCCCTTCTAGCACTGATGATGTTACCTAGTTGGGTCATGAAAGGTCTGCAGGAAAGCCACCAAGCTCAGAGACCACCAAGGACCCCACAACTAAGAAATTCTTTCCTACTGGATGAAGCCACTCTAAAGACACCTCAAGGGCAACTCAACCATCCACTTGATGGGCTGCAGCTCTTGAAAAAGTCAGCAAAATTCTTGGAGGTCCTTCTTGTTGCAAAGACCTTAGATCTCTCCTTAAGCCTGCTAAACCGGGATCAGCATTTTCTCGAGAAACAGACATGGATGGGATGGATGGATGTTTTTATTATATCGTGAATTTTAAAAAAATTTTGTAAGCTGCCCAGTGTACGTTGGGTGGCTATTTAATTTTTTTAAAGTAATAAATATTCCTACAAGACCTCTGTGAGGAATAAAAACTCAACTCCGAAGGTGTTGGAAAACCGAACAAGTTGTTTTCAAGCTTTTGCAAACGCTGGTGGAACTCTTGGCGATGGCATATCCCAGAGTCCACACTTAAATCAATTTTTGCATAGGTTTGCATATCCTGTCCCATGCATCACGCCACATCTTTCCAAAGGGAGCCCAGTTGATAGGCCCACCCGGTCACATGCTTTCTGACCACCTAGCAATCATTACAATTACCAGACCCTCCAATTTTTAGATCAAAAAGCCCCCTTTTGTTCCTGTCTTATCTTCCCTCCCTTTTCTATGGTATGATTTGTAACATCCTGCTAACTAAGGGTATATAGCCTTATCTACACGGTGAACTGTTACCCAAACTGGATAATGGCAATTATAAAGGATTTATATCTTTCCTTGTTTTATAAGAGTGCCTGTTTTTCATCTAAAAGCTATGTGTGTAACAGAGTTCGTGCTTCGGTTAAACATGGCTGCACTTTGGTTCATAGTTATACTTTAAAATACTAACTCTAGGCAGTTTTTATAAAGACTAAACCTTATATAAATTGAATAATAGGTTATTCATAAGCTAGATGCTATTCTACTGTAAGGTCCCAGTCACGCTGGCTGAGGAATTCTGGGAGTTGAAGTCCACAAGTCATCAAAGGGCCAAGTTTGAAGACCCCTGTTCTAGAGCAAGGTTGCAAGAGCAGAAAAAGATCCATCAGAATCAGAAATGCAATAATCTTGGCCCTTATTTATTTATCTGGAGAGAACTGCCCCACCCTCACCCCACCCCCTCCCTCTGCTGACGATTTAGCCGGAAGTCCAAAAAAATTCCCACGCTCTTTAGTTAGGCCAAGGGGCAAAAGCAAAAGCGCCTTATTGATCCAGGTGGAAAAGTACATAATTGTCCTGCATTTAGCAGAATTCGCCTTTTTTTAACCCCGCCTGGGAGCAAAAAGCAAAACGTCTGGAGATGCCGGGGATCGAACCCGGGGCCTCATACATGCAAAGCATGCGCTCTACCACTGAGCTACATCCCCTCCCCGTCGCAAGCCTGTCGAATAGACGTAGAAGAGGCGCTCGTTCCGGAGGACCCAGCAAATGAAAATAGCAATTCGAATTACGTCTCTTGAATTTATCATTACTGAACACAAAGTAACAAACAGGGCTGGAGGGGACCTTGAGAGGCCTTCTAGTCCAACCCTCTGCTCATGCAGACCTTATACCACTCCGGACACATCAGAGGGATACACTGATGTAATATCAAGATATATAGTATCAAGATAGGAAAGCATAACCGTTAGTTTTATTGGCTATTTGAAGATTTCATTTGCTCCCTTGGGAAATTTATTAACCCACGCGTGGAAATTGAACGATTCTTTCTAAACGCAACGCCCTACATATCTCATTCCGAGTCCTGCCTTTGCATGCAACGGACACAGCTCTTTTCCGGAAAACTTGAGCCGCCCTGAAAAGGGCCTTTTCCGCATCATCTCTTCCGTCCGTCCCCAGATCCGATCTCCCAAGTTAGCCGCCGAAGCCGTACAGAGTCCGGCCTTGGCGCTTCAGGGCGTAGACTACATCCATGGCCGTGACCGTCTTCCTTTTGGCGTGCTCGGTGTAAGTCACCGCGTCGCGGATCACGTTCTCCAGGAAGACCTTCAGGACGCCCCGCGTCTCCTCGTAGATGAGCCCCGAAATTCGCTTCACGCCCCCGCGCCGAGCCAGCCGGCGAATGGCGGGCTTCGTGATGCCTTGGATGTTATCCCGGAGGACTTTCCTGTGCCTCTTGGCGCCGCCTTTGCCCAAGCCTTTCCCGCCTTTGCCTCGCCCGGACATCCTTCCCCGCTCGCAGAACACAGTCGATGTGGCAAAGCCGGAGGGGAAATGGGTAGATATACCACAGAATCGGACCAGAGGGAAAACTAAGCCGGGCACTTCTTCCCGCCTTTTTTTACGTCGCCCGTAAAAATCTCCTCACGACAATTGAAAAGGCCTTAAATAAAAAGAAGTGAAGGGCGTGGTCGTTCGAGTATTAATCCTTTTCTGATCAAGGTAGATTTGTGGAAAATTAGGATTATTTATTCTCAGTGTGGTTTATAAACTTGAGAAGTTGCACCAAAATCAAAGGACCAGCACCGCAGTGAATTAATCAATAGAAAGCATTTGCAATTTATATTATATCCTTTATTAAGGCCACTGAAAACTTCATAAGGGACAAAGAATTGTAATATTGCCTGGAGTAAGCTCAGTTCTTAAATCAGTTCTTGGCCAGAGCAAAAGCAATTTGCCACTCATTTGTGAGATGTTTTTTCCAATGTTGCCTGAAAACCTGCATCTCCTAGTGGTCTCCTATCCCTGCACTAAGCAAGTCTGATTTCCTTAGCTTTTCAAACTCACATTATTGCCTCAAAACTCAAGTGTCCCAAGTTTGGAATGGAACTGAATTTGAGAGACACTTTTACGTTTGCAAAGGGGCTTTTTTTGCCCACCTGGAAATACAAACTACCAAATGCTCCAGGCAAAGCAAAAAGCATTTATTAAGGGGAAATCAAGACTTTTTATAAGGGATAAAAACAAATGATACATTTGTGTATGCAATAGGTCAGAAATCAAATGATGAATGATTAAAGACATTGATTAAATGTGAGTTTTGGACAAATAGAAAACATGGGTTTTAGATAACATTCCACAAGTGGCAAATTTATGGGTTATGTTACTCTTCCCCGGGAGGGTTTGAATCTTTCTTAAAACTTGCAAGGATATTCGAAGACTTTCAGAATAGGCCCTGTATGGTTTGGTGCTGAAAAAGAGAAGTTTTCACATACCAAAAGTAATGGCCTTGACTAAGAAGAAAAATGTAAGTTTTTCTTCAGTTAGAAGAGACTTAAGCTCCCACATTAAAATGCTAACTTTTCACTTTTTAAAATGCCAGTAACAAAGCTTAAAATTCCAGATAATATAGTATGACAAAACATCACAAAAAAGTCTGAATTTACACAACATTCTTAGCAAGGTGAGGCAATTGTTCCAATACTGTATTTACCCCATTCATGACTTTCATGTAGTTTGTTCAACAAAGCTACACTTGTTTCTAATACTTTTATATTTGTTTTTATACTATATTTGTCTGAAATGGCCATTTGTCCGAAATGATATAGGGTTTCCTGCCTGAGCAGGGGGTTGAATTAGATGACCTCCAAGGTCCCTTCCAACTTTATTATTATTGTTGTTGTTGTTGTCACCCAGAGTTGCCTTGGATATTACAACAGGCAGCATATACATTTAATAGTTTTCCCCCTGCATACAGGTCAGAGTTTAGCCAAGTGTTTGCCTATTTGAAGGGCAAATGCTCATTGTGGGATTTAAAAAAAAGTAAATTCTACTATCACAGCTCATATTGCTATATAGAGTGCATTACATTCAAAACTGAGATTTTTTAAAATTATATTTATGTACCTCGCAGGAAAAAAAGAGGCTTTAACTGGATTCAAGTCTTCTGCAAACACTGTTAAATATAATGCTTGTCCTTTTCATGTAACATACTCAAAAATTGATATAATCCACACAAGTGCAATCAATGGACGAATGGATGGGAGTTAGCAGAGGGGAGTTAGCAGAGATGGCCAAATTGACTGTTTTAACTAAATATATTTCTTTTTAATATATATATGTAGCTTTGTTTCTACTTGGAGACCACTCCTAGACTTTGTACTCAGAGGAAAAACAATGAAATGCTGATTTGGGGGTTTCCTGATGGCTGTTATAGAAATGGCTAGTATATAAAACTAAAAAGTTGAGGCAGTTTTATTTTACTGCCCTGAAAAAGTTGGAAGTGAATTTTTCCCTCTCCTCTTTTCCTGCCCATTCATGTGTTATTCATTTTCACAATAACACTTTAAGTTTAAGATAGTGCTTCAAAAATGGAGGCCTTAGGAAACCAACTCACAATGGTCGTTAACAATCAAGTCAACAGCCAAGAAACACAGGCACAAAATCAAATGCACCTCACTGTCATCAGTTCATAAATTTTACTTTTCCTTTATAAATTAGAAATCCTCCAAAATTACTCAAAAGTTACTTTTTTGCTCAGCTGTTTTAATAAAAGCTTATCGTTACTTATAAGCTGCCTAGAATTACTCTTGGCGCGATAGAGGGAGACATGAATTCCTCCAATAAAACCGCCCCTTAAAGCGACCTCGCACTTTTCCAGGAATACGTGAGCGGCTCTTAAAAGAGCCTTTGGGGTTGCGGGTAGTCTTCCCTGCGGTCCACACGTCGAGTTGCCCCTCTACTTGGAGCTGGTGTACTTGGTGACGGCCTTGGTGCCCTCGGAGACGGCGTGCTTGGCCAGCTCGCCCGGCAGCAGGAGGCGCACGGCCGTCTGGATCTCGCGGGAGGTGATGGTGGAGCGCTTGTTGTAGTGGGCCAGGCGGGACGCCTCGGCCGCGATGCGCTCGAAAATGTCGTTGACGAAGGAGTTCATGATGCTCATGGCCTTGGAAGAGATGCCGGTGTCGGGGTGGACCTGCTTCAGCACCTTGTAGACGTAGATGGAGTAGCTCTCCTTGCGGGTCTTCCTGCGCTTCTTGTCGCCCTTCTTCTGCGTCTTGGTGATGGCCTTTTTGGAGCCCTTCTTGGGCACCGGCGCTGACTTCGCGGGCTCGGGCATCTTCGCTCTTTCTCTTACGTCAACAGGCAGTGAACTGAGGAGCTTCGTCGTCCCGCTCCCTTTTATAGCAGCCGTATGCTGATGAAGGGGCTCCAAGCGTCAAGCTGCCGTTGGTCCGTACAATTTGGGCGGGAAAGTGGAACGCCAATCAGAGAGGTCGAAGCGTTCGTTCGCTGAATCGGATAAGGAAACACGGCTGGTTTGGCTTGAACGCGCCCTGGAGTTGCTTTCTGATTGGTTCAGTGAGGCTCCTCTCTCATTGGTCTGTTTTGAAGCCGACCTTGCTCGGTGGAAAGGGAATTGTTTTGGCTTTAAAAGCAAATAAAATCAATAAATTGGATTAGTAACCTCACTGAAATAAGGAGAATTGGGAGCCCTATTAATAGTTTCAGAGAACTTTGGGCCTGTTTGCACCCGGCTGCCTTGCCTCAGCAGCGTCTTTCGAGCCCAATGGGTGGGGGGAGGGGCGGCCGTCTGAGGAAACTTCAAATGCAAAATTAGGTGAAGGACAAACTTGGAGAAATTAACCTGGAATGACAAGATTATTAGCAAAGAATTATCTAATTATGAGTTGTCCTTAAAACAGAGGACAAAGTCTCTTCCAGGTTGCACCTAGTGACAAAACACTATAAAAAGCAAACTCTGTCAAGAGGATCAAATGTGTTATGGTGACCAAGAGCCTCACCAAACTTTGTGTCAGAATTTTATAATCCGGGATCCACTTGTCACAAGGAGAGACCACATAGTTTATATAGTAAGAAAGCAACGCAAGCCACATTTCAGCATACAGTACTAGTATTTGGGAGAGGAAAATATTTGAAATAAACTTCTCACACAAACTATATTTTAATTTCAAGAACTTTTATGATGCTTTAATCTCACTGAAATCAGTTACAAATTTTAGTGATTTCTTTCTGCTGATTTAGATGAGACTGCTGTGGGTCATTTGGGTTCAGCTCCCTTCAATTATGCTTTAATTAAACTACATTTTAATTGCTTAGCAATCAGCCGTGTACGTTGACCATCATTCAAGACCAGTCAGTTGAAATGTCTCCGTAGCTTTGAGCCACAGATTGTCTGGTTTTGGAGGCTGAAATGTTTTTTTCTACCCCACCCTATCAACTCAGAAGTTTCTTCGTTTAGGTTTTGCATTCAAGACAAGAAAATAAAAATTGTCCTATATGATGTATCTTCTGTCAGCATTGTCCCCAGAATTGCTCACAAGGCATTTCAGAAGAAGATGGACACCATGTCTCTGGGATGAAAAGCAAGAGCAGAGCGAGTAAAGATGTTGTGGGCACTCAGTCAATGGACGTTGAGGAACCTGATAGAAATAAAGGTTTTATTTTCTCTCTGGAGGGAAGAGTTGCAAGCTTCAGCTGGTGAGAAGTAATTTATAGGAGAGAAACTAGGAAGCTTTTCTCCAGAACAAAGTTGTTCAGCAGATAAAAATACATTTCTTTTTCCTTTGATGAAACTGGTTCACTTTCCCCTCCTACCAAAGACCTTACTAACAAGAGTAACAAACAGGGCGCCTAATATCTCTAGCAGTGTTTCTCAACCTGGGTGGTTTTAAGCTTTGTGGACTTCAACTCCCAGAATTCCCCATCCAGCTCAGCTGACATCTAGGAAGAAAGAAGGAAGGGAATGACCTTGCATTAGCAATTTCATGAAGATAGGGAGGACGGAGCATAAACCCTTGAACCAGTGTCCCTCAATAAGATATGTGTGGGCTTTCCGCTCCCAGAATTCATAACTGGCTTGGGAATTCTAGGAGTTGGAGTCCTCACATCTTAAAAGTTGATGAGTTTGAAAAACACTGTCTTAAACCTCGATCTATACTCATTGTCACTTGGTCGATAGGCCATGAAGCCCTGAAAAATCAGCGTCACTAGACTGGGATCTGCAAGGCTTCCATCGTTGCTAGACCTGACATAATCCTGGTGTTTTCCATGAATAACTATGTCCAAGGAGAGAAAATCAGCCTTGCACATTCTGTATCAAAGCTTATGAGGTTCTGCAGGAAGAAAGCTGGTAGCCTGAATGTAAATTACAAGAAATAAAACAAAACCCTCAAGTCTGTATGAGGTCTCTGAACTCAAAGGAAGCATTTCTTATTCTTGTGGAGGGAAATAGCCAGTCATTTGGTTCCATTCTTCAAGTAGTG